TGTGTGCACTCTTGCGTGTGTGTAAGCAAATTGTAGTTCTCATATTCACAAAGGAAGCCACTCATTTGTACACATGTACTTGCCATTTATCAATCCTGTTCCATGATTCAAATATAACTTTTCGTGGGTAGTGGTAGGAAGAAAGAAAGGGAAAAATAAAAGAGAAAATGAAAAGAATTGGAAAATGAGGGTGGGGCATGATGAACAGAGATTTCTACCCTTCAAATGGCTTTATAGGAGAGTCTGGGCAAATACCAAGTTTTTGAATATAATCAGACGATGCTGAATTGGAAATGTTTACTCTACAACTCAAGCCATAATCATGTAGATGAAGAAACAGAGGAAGAATTGAAATACTTTATTTCCCTTTGAGTACATTTGTTGGAGGCTGTACTGTATGTGTATTTTTAACATGGAGACATTCTTGAAAAAATGTAACTATACCCATCAGATGTTTATGATAGCTTGAAGATACGTAACATTTCTTTAGTTTACTATTAGTTTTGTGCACATACCTGTCACTTCCTGCAGGACCTCCGTAGGGTAATTTTTATATCATACAGTGATTTAAATTTTAGTTATATATTATTGTCTGTGAGCTCATGACGATCAAATTTTCATATTAAGTAATGGCTGTGATTTGTGTTCCAGGAATGTGAAGACTGGTATTCCTGAACTTATGGTTAATTTTGTGACCTCATCTTACAAGCCAGAACTGCTTCAGCCTCTTCTTGGAAAGATATCAGCTATTCCTGAAGTGGTTTGTATGGCTGATGTTTATATTAATTGGTACTGGATATAACATAGTAACAATTAATTGAACAAGGTTATAATCTATTTCAGCTTTCCAGTCAAATTGAAATAATTGAGATCAGTTCTCAGAATGATGCCTTGGGTGGTACTAAGTTTCTTGGCTTGCTTCCTGTGTATTATGGGTTCAGTTGACTGAACCCATTTTGTCCAGAGACTGGAAACTTGTGAATGTCAGTTGCATAGTGAAAACAGTTGTTGTGTTTATATGAATGATAAAACCAGTAAAACGGCCTTTGTTATTGTAAAACCAGTAAAACGGATAATCTGGTTCTGTTTGTTTGTTTGTTTTTTTTCACTTTTTCTATGAGTGCTGCAGTAGCTTGTTACTTAGTTTGACTTTATTGCTGATGTGTGTCAAAAGAAAGTCAGTGAACTGATTATACATGTGATAGAATATTTTCATTATCACAAGAACTCATTAGCTTGCATCTAAGGTTGGCAATCTGCAATAGAGGAATTGTTGTAACTTTCTACTAATTCCTAGATTTTTGTTGCTTTTAATCCTTCAGTGACCATGACTCACAATGCTGATTGTTTATACACTTTTTTGTGTCATTGTGTTTGCTAATGCTCTCTTGTTGGGAAGCCCCAATTTTTTATATTTTTTTATTTTTAGATTGTGTAGCTACTGTACCATATAAGATACCTAGAACAATTGTAGCATTTCATTTTTGACTGTCTCCTAAAAGCTATATTTTGATTAATAAGATATCAATTCTAGCTTCTTTTGTTCCAAACAAAAAACAAAAAACAAAAACAAATGGTATGTGAAAATGTTATGCATTTTACTCCTGAATCATGTTTGCATTTGTCGTCATATCTCTTATTGTTAGTCTGTCATTCAATTATTTTTTTTTTACTCATCAATTCGTACTTCATTTTTGATCCTTTAATTTTTTTAATCTCTTAAGTCATCTTCTTATGACTGATAGGTAAGTATCATGAACAATGTAAATACCTCTGTTGGTAACACATCTCTTGGGGAGATGGAATACACTTTGTATGGCAAATCTAGCATCACGGAGAACTTAAGAGGGCTTACCTTTCAAATATCGGCAAACTCGTTCTTCCAAACAAATACTCACCAGGTACGCAATGTGACAGAAATTTAATGCCTCATCAGCTGATGCTTGCTTTCATATTGAATTGCTTGATACTTTCCTTGTGAATACTATCCTTGAAATTAAATGCCAAAAATCTTTAAATGCTTTAGGCAGAGGTTTTATATAAACTCATAGAAGATTGTGCTGGTCTCAGAGGAGATGGCTCAGAGGTTGTTCTTGACCTGTTTTGTGGGACTGGCACCATTGGTCTGACACTTGCCAGAAGGTAATTGTCTACTGTTCATTTTTTATAAATGTTGTATTCAAATCTGACATTTTGCTTTGCCTGATTGGTGCAGGGCCAAACATGTTTATGGATATGAAATAATTCCTCAAGCCATTGCAGATGCTTGTCTGAATGCCAAACTGAATGGCATCCAGAATGCCACATTTATTCAAGGGGATCTTAACAAAATTGATGAAAGTTTCGGGAACAATTTTCCTAAGCCCGACATAGTTATTTCAGGTTATGTTTTTCTTATTGCCGTAATTCATCTAGGTTCACTAATCTTTTGGACCAAATAATAAACCTTCTGTTCTTCAAATGAATTTGAAGCATAGGAAATATGTTTACGATTAATGATAAGCTTTCTGATTAACGATGCAAAATGATTTTGAAAAAAACAAGAAATACGTTTATGGCTAACAATTTTTCCAGTGTAGAACGAAAGAAGGTTTTTGGTATTTCCTAGATGGATGGTTGGCTTGACATATGACCTTAATCGGAATATACAGCGTTTTGCCTCTGACCGTGTTTTGATGTGCTGAATCATACAGATCCAAACCGTCCAGGAATGCACATGAAGTTGATCAGATTTCTTCTAAAGCTTAAGGCACAACGAATAGTTTATGTATCATGTAATCCTGCCACATGTGCACGTGACCTTGATTATCTCTGTCATGGTGTGGTATGCATCTGCTTTTTCACCTTCGATTTTTTTTTTTTCCGGATACTCAATTCAGTTCTATGACCTACCAAAAACTTTATGCAGACAGAGAAAGGTATAGAAGGCTGTTACAAGCTGAAGAGCATACAGCCGGTAGACATGTTCCCGCACACTCCTCATATTGAGTGTGTTTGCCTTTTGGAGCTTTCTTGACCCCGATTATGGTTACGATTTTTGTTACTCAGGTTCAGAATTCTCTTCATTTATTTCGTTTCGTAGACTATGCCTTGAAGTTCAATTAAGTTCAAATGCTCCTGTTATTTCAGTCTTTTCAAACCACCTGTTCAAAATGTTTCTTGCTGGATTTGCAAAGCTTGCCTGGGAACTGTGGTGACAATGGGGTCTGGAAAGAGCAAGAAGAAGAAACGCATAGCAGGTCGCTTTAATTTCTTGCCGTTTTCTTTTTCGGCTGCGAAAGAGTTTAATAGTTTCAACCACCGTTATCAATTCCATAGGCGATTCAATTAATCTGTAACCTTGTAGTGGCCTTGTATTTTGTGGGGTTGAAGCATCCTTTCCAACTGAAGACATAAAAATGAGAACATGTAACACTGTCGGGTCAACCGCAATGTTATACCTGAGTTCATGATTTTTCACTGTTGGGATTGCTACACGCTTACTTTTTTATGGTATATATTTCTTAATAAAGTATTTAATTAAAGGAATAAAAAAAATTCAATTATACACAAGTTTAAAGAAAAAACAATTTTATTCAAACATTATTCTTGTTTTTTCACAAACTAAAATAAGGTCTCAAGTCCATCGGGGATTTTTAAAAAGGAAATTGTTTTAAAAAGGAAAGTGAGGGCATAATTCGACCAAAAATTAAAATTAAAATATCGTGGGGATTTAATTGGACCAAAAAAATAAATAAAGTAATCAGAATAAAGTGAGGATACTGGCCTGACACCATCCTCCCGAGTCTAAGAGGCAGTGCTGAAGTAATTAGTTGGGGAGGGAAGACTTACGATTCACAAGCTGAGGGTCATCACACATCTACTCAAATGGGGAGTGGTCATTTTCCCGAGAAAGGCTTTGGGAACCCATTTCTATTACGGAGGTCCTGGGTTTTCAGCAACATGTCCCTAGTTTTGAAAGAAAAGAAAAACAAAGGATTATTAGTAACACAACACAAGTGAATAGGTTACAAGTATAACCCAGGAAAGAATATGAAACTGGAATCCACCAGAAAATTAGAGAGGGAATTCCCCACTGTTTATTTTATTTGATAAAAGATGAGTTGAGACAAACCATACACGAAGGTTGTCTAAATATATCAATCTTACCCATTAGACTGCCCTGAAGAGTTATTGAAAGATAAACAGTAAATAAACAAAAAGTCAAAAATTAACTACAACTTGTAAATGCTCTTTTAGAAGACCAAATGACCTCAGATGCTCAAAATCCACCTAATATATTGGACTCATGGGGTCAGTCCCTTTTCGGAAAGGTATGATGCGCCTAATCCAGTGCTCAGACGCCAAATCTGTAAATTATTGTTGTGTACTTTTTCCATTCTTCGCTCCAATTCTTCTTCAATACACTTACATTAATATATATATTTATAAATAAATAAATAAATAAAGGGAAGGTAAGTCTTAGCGAAAAAACAAAAAGAATTATAGGTAAATTAATATACATATGAATACACTTACATTAATGTGTGTATAGATGTTAAAGACTACTAGGTAAAACAAGATTAGGGTTTAGGCTATTTCGTACCACATTTATTGACCATCTTGCTGACCACTTCTCTAATAGAGGTGGGCATGTGGGATCCACCTACTCTTTATTGCATAGAAGCAGTCTTTCTCTTTTTACTTCTTGTTTTCTTTAATTAATTTTTCTAAAATTTGGCTCAGAAAAATAATATTTGCACCAAAAAAGTAGGTCAAGTGCATGGCATGTGATCATTTTTAATAAAAACCACAATTCGGAAGTTTTGCAACAATTAAACTTTTTTTTTTTTTTAAGTTACTAATGTTTGCCTTATAAAATAAATATTGATTTAGCAGGTTATCTTCACCACATCCATTCAATTATAGTATGCTAATAAAACTCGTATATATATATATATATATAAGAGTTGCTCATGCTAATTAACCTTTTGCAGATGTTCATGAAAAATTTATATGCAATGGCAAATGAGATTCATTACACCAAAGTCGGAGGCTGCTTTTTTATTGCAGCATTAACAAGTTTCATGTTGAGCAACGCATTTGCTGATTGCAGAAAAGTTGAAACACTGAAAACCGAAGCGTCTGTGAAGCACAACAAAGCAGTCATCAAAACTATAAAGGTTGCCTTCCCCTTTTTAATATTTCTATTTTCTCTTTTGGGAATTCTTAAGAAGTTGGAAAATAGTTTCTGATTGATGTTTGGCAGGGAGAGGCCGAAGATTTGATAGATTGTGTTGATATCTATAAGCAGCCAGCTCTTAATCACCCTCTTCTCAAAAATCACACTATACAGGTTTGCTCTTCGTAATTAGATTTTTATTTTATTTTATTCAAACCCTAATTAGATTGTAGATTAAAGGTCACCAGTCACTTAATTATATAACATGTTTTTAAAACATTTTATTTATATATACTACGAGTTATTATATATGTTACGAGTTTATCATCCATGCAATACGCACTCCTTTTTCAGAGCAATAAGAACAATGTTATAAGTTGTACTACATTGGTCGTAAGAGGAGTTTCTCCTCAGTTCTAAAGTTCATTTTATATAGGATTTTTTTATTATAATTTAGACTCTTATATTGGGTATAATAGTCCTCTTCCAAATTTTAACGTTTGTATTATATTTGGGCATTTGAAGTCTAAGATAATTTTAATGTGTATATTTATATTTTTTTGGAAAAATAGCTGAAACCAAGTGAAACTGAAACCGTAAGTGGTGCTCAAGATGAGATCTTTCAATCTTGGAGTCAGAATGGAGAGTGCCCGGACGGAACAATCCCCATTGTGCGACGAACACAGGGATTTGAGCACCATCCATCTAAAACAATGCCACAGTTTGAGCCCAACCAATTTGAGCTCATCCCTCCTCCTCATCATGAGGTACCACATCAACTTTGAATCATTTTAATTACATTTAAAAATAATAATAATTAACTATTAAAAAATATATATTGTAACACTAATTCTTTGACGTGCCTACTGGAGAGTCCTTGTGTTGCATCCCCTTCTTTTGATGAAAAAAAATTTCTTTGACGGGTACTAAATAAAAGTACCATTTTTATATGGTTATAAAAAATAAATAATAAAAAAGGTTATATTGTTACTAGGCCCTCTCAATCGGTATTTTATTGGTTGTTGTCTTTTTCGAACTATTTACACTAATAACTCCTCAGGTTTTCGATTTTTTCACAAAATCCCTTGATGTTTTGGAAATTACACGAACACCCCCTTAAGTTTTAAATTGTTTTCACAAAACCCATTTTCATTAATTTTGTCATTTTCACACTTTTTTTTATAACTGAAATCATCAAGTTTATTCCATTTACTTTTTACCTTTTTAGTATGCCCAAGTTAGTTTGCACGGTGGTCAATACTATGGAGCGCGAGCAGGATTTAATGTATGGAACCCAGCAGCATATAATGCAGACAACAGTATAGCCCAGATATGGGTTGTGCGAGGTAACGGAAAAGCACTGAACAGTGTAGAAGCTGGGTGGATACGTGTAAGTTTTGGCCAGCCAAATATCCCAAGAAAATATTATTATTTACATTTCTTTTCACTCTATCTTATATTGAATTATATATTCACTGGTTATTTCTAGATGAACCCGCGTGACAACCGAACGCTCTTGTTCACATTTTGGACTGTAAGTTTCTAGGATCGCCTCGCATTATGATAATCTCTTCTGATTAGATTTTTGAACCAATAATATGGACAAACGAGTGCGCGTAACAATATAATATGCGTCTTTCGATTTTAAAGACGTATAAAATGCGCACTATGAAATGCATATTATTGTGTATAGAAAAGAATCGTGCTGCATTTTTATGTGCAACAACTAAATTACATGAATAAGTAAACAAGCATAACTATAAATTACATGTTACTTGGCAGGGTGATGGTTACCAATCCACTGGTTGCTACAATCTTGAATGTCCTGGTTTCGTCCAAACAAGCAAAAAATATGCCCTTGGCGTACCAATATCACCTATTTCTGGGTACAATGGGAAGCAGTATGACACATTCATAAGCATATACAAGGTGAATGGCTGTTTACTTTACGTTTTAACTATCTTATGAGATAATACTTTGAATAGTAATTTGGGGATACCATGCATGCCTAGCCTAGTATTAATAGAGTAATGTTTTTCTGTCACACTGTGAATCTAAACTATTAATTATCATGATATTTCTTATATCAAAATGCTCAAATTTACAGTCTGACAAGACAATCAAATGTTTGACGACATAATATATTTCTAGCTAGGAGGGGAGTATTATGTACCATATATGTTCATAAACATATACAACGTAAATGATTGATTAATTGAAAATTTTAAAAATAATTTTGGATAGTAATTCAATACATTTGTGTTTCAGAACACAAATAGTGGGCATTGGTGGCTTCAAGTGCAAAATGAGGCAATAGGATACTGGCCTGACACCATCCTCCCAAACCTAAGAGGCAGTGCTGAATTGGTTAGTTGGGGAGGGGAGATTTACGATTCACAAGCTGATGGTCATCACACATCTACTCAAATGGGGAGTGGTCATTTTCCTGATGAAGGATTTGGGAAAGCCAGCTATGTTCGCAATCTCCAATACATGGACGATTCTTCGCCTCTCACTTTCAAAGATCCTGCTGGTCTTCTAACTTTTGTGACAAAGCCTTCATGCTACAATTTAATTGTTAAAGACAAAACCCCAAACATGGGAACCCATTTCTATTATGGAGGTCCTGGGTTTTCACCAACATGTCCTTAGTTTTGTAAACAATTATTATTAGGTACGCAACGAAGAGCAAACTGATGTATCTGTATCATAAATGGTCCCTTAACTTTTTAAAAATCTCTCCTCATTTTAGTCCTTAAAACGCTCAAATCAATAAATCTGATCCTTCATTTCTTGATCTACACATTAGTTTGGTCCCTTGCATTCTTACAAAACTTTTGTTAAAGTTGGTCATCACGTTACTAACTTTAAAAGAACATTTTCATCATTTTAGTCATGAAACTCACATTTTACTCTAAAAGGACATCTTCTTTCCTTTTGGGGTTTTACATTTGGAATCTATCAAGGAGAGCATATGGCATTGTTGAGCACAATACGTGAGATTTACTTTTTGTTATAGGTGGATAGGTTGTGTTTTGACGAAAATACTGCTTTAAAGTTGATCAACTTGACCAATTTTAATGAATATTTTGATGAAATGCAACGAGAGGGACCAAACTGGTGTGTGGACCAAAACATGAAAGACTGAATTGATTGATTTGAAAGTTGAAGGACTCAAATGAAGACTTTTGAAAAATTTATGGACGATTAGTGATAAAAACACTTCAAAAATATATAAAAATGTGGAACTCATCAGCTTCATCATGTCACCGCTTTCCCTTTCTCTCAGATCTCTTGATATCGCCTCTATCTCCCTCTATCTTGTCGTCTTGCCACCTCACCAACTCAAATAATTATTAATAGACATCAAGACACTTATATTGAACCAAAAACCCTTATTTATTTTAGATAATTATACCATGAACCTAATCTCCCAAACTTGAACCAACAGACTAATACATGAATCTAAACCCAAAACATTTAATCGAAATGCATGAACTTCCTCTTAAATTCTATCCAAAAGGTCCATATATGCCTTTTTCTATATATAGAATAACCCTGTGTAATTAAAGTGCTTTCACATTTGTATCAACCCTTTTTGGGTAATTTATGCCCTTCTTGATGCCTAAGTTATGAATACAGTTATCGCTTACTCTAAAAATAAAAATAAAAATTAAGTAGGATATAGGAAACCTTTTCTAGCAGAAAAAAAGGAAAAAGAAAAGGAATATAGCAAACCTTGATAATAAAATTGTAATGTTTGCCTTGTAAGTCTAAATCCTGATTTTGTAGGTTATGGTAAATTATAGTAAGCTAATAACAGTCATGGCACTCGAGCATAATATTTAAGTATTTACATTGGGTTAAAGTTGCCCATGGTAATTAACCTTTTTTGCAGATAGTTTTGAAGTATTTCTATTCAATATGGCAAATGGGTTTCGTTACACCAAAGTCCAAGGCTGCATTTTTCTTGTAGCAATAGCAAGTTTCATGTTGAGCAACGGATTTGTCGATTGCAGAAAAGTTGAAACAGTGAAAACTGAAGCGTCTGTGAAGCACAACAAATCAGTCCTCAAAACTATAAAGGTTCAGTCTATTTTAAAACCTTGCCTTCCCCATTTCCTTTTTCTTTTTTTCTTTTGGGGATTCATACAAGAAGCTAAAAAATAATCTCTGATTGATCTTTGGCAGGGAGAGGGCGATGATTTGATCGATTGTGTTGATATCTATAAGCAACCAGCTCTTAATCACCCTCTTCTAAAAAATCACACTATACAGGTTTGCTCTTCTCTTCTTAATAAGATTGATATATATATGTGCTCATTTTAAGAATAAGAATGATGTTATAATGTGTACCAGATTTACGGATCATATTTTTCACATATATGAGATCCGCTCCGATGCAATTAATAATACTTACATTCCCTTAATGTGGTAGAACTAATTTTAATTTAGTCCTCTTCCAAATTTTAACATTTCTATTAAATTTGGGCATTTGAAGTGTAAGATGATTTTAATGTTTTTGTTTTTTGGGAGAAATAGTTGAAACCGAGTGGAATTGAAACTGTAAATGGTGTTGAAGATGGGGTCTTTCAATCTTGGCGTCAGAATGGAGAGTGCCCAGACGGAACAATCCCCATTGCACGAACAAAGGCATTTGAGCATCGTACATCTAAACCAATGCCACAGTATGACTCCAACAAATTTGTGTTCGTCCCTCCTAATCATGAGGTACCACATCAACTTTTTGAACCATTTTAATTACGTTTATAAATATAAAATAAATAAATAATTTGAGACCACTAATTCTTTGACGTAAAAACAAAGTGTTCTATACATTATTGCTACTAGGCTCTCTGATGCAGGAGTAATTGCTCTTGACTCGAGCTACAAGTCTTGTTGTATTATTCTTTTATTTTTATTTTTATATAAAAATGCGATAGAATTTTATTAGATCGATAGAAATTTTTCTTAAAAAAAACAATTTTTATCTAAACAAAAACAAAAATTTTGAATTATTTAAATTTTTTACCATAAGGGTATTTTGGCTTTATATCTATAGAAGATATACAGATTAGTTATTATTTCATTTATTTAACTAATTACCTTTGTAGTTTGCCCAAGTGAGTCTGCACGGTGGTCAATACTACGGAGCAAAAGCAGAATTTAACGTATGGAACCCTGCCGCGTATAATAAAGATAACAGTCTAGCCCGGGTATGGGTCGGGAGAGGTAGCGGAAAAGCACTGAGCAGTGTAGAAGCTGGCTGGATACGTGTAAGTTTTGGCCGGCCAAATATCCTCCAAGAAAATATCATTCTTTTACATTATTTTTTTCATTTTATTTTCATGGTGGTGAGTTTAATTTCAAGCTAAATCTATATTGAATTACATGAAAATTCATTGGTGGTTTCTATAGATGAACTCGCGTGACAACCAAACACTCTTGTACACATTTTGGACTGTAAGGTTCCTCAATCCCTTCACATTATGATATTCTCTTATAATTACTGATTTATCTCTTCTGATTATACTATCGTCACAACACAACAATATGAACTTAAGAGTGCGCATAACAATATAATATGTGTCCTTCGATATAAAGGAGGCACGCGTTGCGTGCAGAAAAAGAATTGTGCTGCATATTTATGTATGTGCTACAACTAAATTACATGAATTCGTACAAAATCGTAACTATAAATTACAGGTTTCTAGAGAATACTTATATATTGGCAGGGTGATGGTGGCCAATCTGGTTGCTACAATCTTGAATGTCCTGGTTTCGTCCAAGTAAGCCAAAAATTTACCCTTGGCGGTCCCATGTCACCTGTTTCTAGCTACAATGGGGCACAGTATGATATATTCCTAAGCATATACAAGGTAAATGGTTTTGTTCTGAGATAATGGACACTTCAAATAGTAATTTGGGGCTTAACGTGTGAATTTATATGCATGCACAAATATACATATAGTAATTGGATACATTTATGTTTCAGAACACAGATAGTGGACATTGGTGGCTTAACGTGGGAAATGAGGCAATAGGATACTGGCCTGACACCTTCCTCCCAAGTCTAAGGGGCAGTGCTGAATTGGTTAGTTGGGGAGGGGAGATTTACGATTCACAAGCTGAGGGTCATCACACATCTACTCAAATGGGGAGTGGTCATTTTCCTGATGAAGGATTTGGGAAAGCCAGCTACGTTCGCAATGTCCAATACATGGACGATTCTTCGCCTCTCACTTTCAAAGATCCTGCAGGTCTTCTAACTTATGCGACAAAGCCTTCATGCTACAATTTAATTGTTAAAGATAAAACCCCAAACATGGGAATCCATTTCTATCATGGAGGTCCTGGGTTTTCAGCGGCATGTCGTTAGTTTCGAAACGAAGAGCAAGCTAATTAGAATCAGCAGAATAATTTAGTTCATTGCGAGGTATGAGAGCATTGTAGCTTATCTGGGCATCCTTTTTCTCATATATCAATTTGGAGGGGCTTTGTTTATGAGTTCTTGCAATTAATATCGATGCCTTTTTTTGGTGAGCTTTATATATAATGCCTCTAAATGAAAATATTGGTAAGCTTTATATACAATTTGTCTAAATGAAAATACTGGAAATTGATGATGATTCCCTTTTTTTAATTTCAAACCAGGAGAGTGGCAATTGGTGGCTTGAAGTGCAAGGCAAGTCAATAACTAATATGTTGATTCAAAAGGAATGACAAATCCAATTGTAATTGGATTGGAAGTGAATTGTTCAAAATAGGTTGGATTGGAAGCTATGCACACCCCTTATTAATGAAAGAGAATTTTAGAGGTATAGAATGGGCCAGTTTCACAGAAGCACAAGAAGAAAACAAAGAACCATATGAAAGCATGTCTCCAGGCAACTGCTGTAATAGAGATTTTTCAGTATTCAAAAACACATTTACATTTTATTAACAAAATAATTGGATTACAGATACAGAGATATCAAACATTTAATACAGTAAAAAGATTATAATACATATTAGTTTTCCGCTCTATACGTCTCATAATTGTAGTGATTTGAGGTCAATCAACTCCACTTATTTCCTCTCCTCTTGTATTGACAAGAATATCCGGGCTGCTGATTCAGATGCTGATTTAGTATTGTGAGGAACAACCTTGATCGCACGTGTCTGATGCTCACTTTTACAAGGTTCCTGAGATTGTGGAGCCGTAGGAAAAAGGGGAAGCGCATTGCCTAGGGTCCTGTCTGAAGGGCTACTTGCTGTTGTTCCCTGTATCTCACTCCCTTTCGAAGCTTGGATGTTCCCAACATAACATGGCATTACTTGGCTCATCTGGCCTGACATGTTACATGAGCTTTGATGTGGCAAGGTGAAGTTAATTTCCCCGAATGATAACTGATTTTCGTGCCAATTTGAATGACCTCCAGAAAATGGGGTCATATTCTCAACAGCTGAACTGGACAAAGATGGATTTATGATTGGCATGCCATAAGGTGGAAAGCATGTCTGAAGCAAAGGTGGTGTACCAATTCCCATCCCTTGTTGATACAAAGATGGATTGCTATAAGTTGCATTTAAGTAGTCCCTGGCTCCTGGATTTAGGCTCGCAGGGCCACAGCTGCCATACATCGGTGCCATGAAACCTCCAGTTGGAGCGCATCGCCCGGTATACGGCTGGTAAGCGAGTTCCTCAGAAGAGGATGTTACTGGAACAAACCACATATTTCCAGGTGGGGGTTGGAGACACCATAGGGCTGGTTTGCTATATGGTTGCTGGGTGACAAGTCCTCTGCTGCTGGTTCTATTGTTGACAGGAGGTAGAGGGAACTTCCCAACTGCATTTTCTTCAACACATTCACCACTAGAATGTGGCTTCTGAGGATGGTCTTTGGGTTTAACAATTAAGGGTGGCAGCTCTAGAGCATGCTCCAATGGCACCTTCTTCACTGGAGGTACTTTAATTGCAGGTTTGCTTAGAAAATCATTGTCTTCAAGCAATAGGTGTGGTGATCCAGCAATCAATCTTTGCACCTGTATCAGTTTTAATGTGTAATGAAACTCACTTATTTCATAAGTCAAACTCAAATTGAGGAAACTAAATATACAGACACACACATTCAAGAAAGAGGATGTCAACTTGACTCTCAGCAATTAACAGATTACCTTTATTAACCTATGCAACTCAAACACTTGCACTGCAAAAACTCTTTGTTGACTGAAAATAATGCCATGAAAGTTGAATCAGAAGACAAATGCAATATTTAGATTCTAAACAGGATAAGAGCATAATTAAGTAATAATAAAGGTTGGATGCACGATGAAAATTCTGAAGTAACACAAATGAGAATAAGATTAAAGAACATCAGTTCATATGATTCAGTCATGACACGTGAGCAACAATGGCTATACACAACACTATGGGAGAAGCAATTAGTTAAGTACAAGATATTGAAATGGAAACAGAATGTGAGACTGGAAATCATACCTTAGACTGAGTACAAAATAAAACGTTTAGGCACAGGGAATGTTGCATGGGGTAACATGTCAGATCAAATAAAACTTATGATTATGAATATCATTCCAAAATGTCTAGCAAAAGACAACAAAAACACTAATTTCACAAAAATGTTTGTAGCAAGCATCAAACAGAGGTACTTACCTGACGATAGCTTTTCTCATTTCACAGAACTGTTTTGCACCTATCACTCCCATAACATCATGAGGGGAGATACCCATAGCTGAATTACAGTCCATTATGGACATATCTGAGATATCTTCATGTCCGCATAAATTTCCAACTTGTGCAACCCCGCATTTCTCCTCACAGCATTCATTTTCATTTCCAAGCCCACCAGAAATTCTATTGTCATCCACAAGAGATGGTGTCAAACATGACTTCTCTCTCACTTTTGACGAAATTTCCTTAGCTGTTCCTATTCTGGATTGCACCAAAATGCCATCCCTAAGGGCCACTCTGTCATGCACAGTCATAGACTCTCTATGCAATCGTGCACTAGAACTACATAATTTGCTCAAATCATTCACTGAACTTCTATTTTCTTGACTCAGAGATGCATGTGCCCGCTTCAATGATTCAGAATTTTTTACTGTATTTGATGGGCTAGATGAGGTATTCGCAAAATCCTTCACTATAGCTAAAGCAAGAGAGACAGACCTTTCCACAGGATCCTCGTTAGTTTGAGACACTTTCGGGTTCTCTTCTTCATGGTTTCTCCCACATTGCCTCAACTTCAGATCAATGGTGTTACTACCATTAATTTTCTTAATGCAAGAACTTTTAAGTTGCTCCATGGAGCTCAAGCAAGGCAGCTTTTCCTTCTCTTTGCTTTGCTGACTGTTTCTACATTGCAGAGCTGTTCCTTGGAAAGGGGAAGGGACTTTAAGATAATCCTCATTTCCATACTTCTCCAAAGAAAAGTTCCTAAAGTGGGAGGTTTTTTTTGGTTGAAACGAATCATATTTAGCTGCCGATGATGATGGCCCTGTGGTATTCAAATAATTTGAAGGTTTGGTGGATATCCTTTCACAATCTGCCATCATGGTGTTTAAGTTAGCCCCAGTAGGGTCATAAGACTGAATCTTCTCAGCCGGGTCTGAAGGCACAACAAGGAAGTTGCAAGGCGGGGTCAATATATTCCTTTCGTTGCTGCTAACCTACAAATACCAATTGTTTCATTAGTTGTACAAGACAAAGTACAGAGTAAATTTATGTATATTCAGAAATCTAGTACTAGAGAATCTTGTTACATTCTGGAACCGCTCAGAAGAACCACAACTAAATAAATAAGAAAATATAAGCAGAAAGGGAAAAATAAATTACAAGCCATCCTGAGACGCCAGACAGATCAAGAACATTCATGTGTATCAAAACTAATGGCTCAATTAAAACAATGACAATGCTGTACAAGCTCAAGCCTATAAGCTTACTTATGATACAGTTTTTCTTGTACATACTTTCGGTTTAATAAATTTACTTCCAAAACCACTGGTACAAAGTCCTTTCACGAAATGACCAGTGCGAGCACAGAGCTCAAACTAAAGGCATCTCATTGCTTAGATTCTAACAAACACAAAATTGCAGTAACAAAAAGAGGAACAATTTTTATGTTATTCATGACTAAATTAACAAAAATCCATTTAGATTGCTGTACTCACATCACTCCAGGATGTGGGTGGAACCAATCTTCTGTCATTGTGTGGAAGAGGCAACATGGATGCTGAACCAGAGGTAAAACTCTGAGAAGGGATGCTGAACTGCTCATAGAGAGCCATCTTGTTCCTTGGAGGTGGTCTTGGCCCTCCTTTGTCTGTATCATTGACATGAAACCTAGGAAATACAGGACTTATCAAGTGTTCTTCATCTTTTCCTCCTCTCATTCTCCTCTTCACCACAAATTCCGCTCACAAAAATTATAATTTGTACAAAATTCATGACAAGCTTCAATTTCCATCCTTTCTTAGAGTCCACAATCACAACCCAAACCTAGCCTAGCCTGATACCAAATATAAAATGCCTCATCAAGAAAGCACACCTATCTCCTCCAAAATCAACCTACTTTAAAATAGAAAATCTTCGGACAAGTTCAAACATTAGAAACCAAAAACTAGCCAACTAGCAAAACCAGTCATTTCCTAAAAAGTTAACATTCCACAACTACCCAAGATCAACCTACGCACAAGAAGCCAATCTTCTGAGTGAAAAGCACAAACAAACACCACCACCACATGAAAAAATGTGAAGAAAAAGTTAATACTTACAAGCACCCAACAGCTTCACAAAATAAAAAATTTCTGGGTGGGAAATAAAAACAAGCAACTATATCTCATGGAATTCAATCAGAAAACACAATGTCAGCAGTAGCCAAAATGAACCAACCTCATAAAAACCAGAGGGTCAGCTGCAAATCAGGTGCAGAGGTATTTACTGATGTAATTTGCCTTTGCCTGCATAAACTACAATCAGGGAAATTCAATGGTTAAAGAAACATAGTGAAGAAAGATACTTGTGGGGGAGATGGTTGCTTTGGAATTGCAGTAGAGGGGTCAGGGGAGAAAGCTAACAAAGAGGTGTGGGCAGTGTGGGGCCCAAGTGGATAGAATAGAACCAGAACCTACTTCTGGAGATGTAGCCCGAGTGAGTCTCTCTCTCACATGGAGGATTTGGCGAGCCCATGTTGATTGATTGATTGCGCTATTACTTGATCACCACATGTTGTTTTCCTCTCAAGATTTGGCCAATCTTGTAACGAAAAATCCGTTAAAAATACCTCTCTGAACCAAAAAAAATTAAATGAAAAAAAAATAAAAAAAGGGAAAAAAGATGGTGCTTGTTGACAAAGAAGAATGGCCATGAATAGATGTAGAGTGTGACAGCGTCCAATGGTGGGGCGATGGGGTTGGTTTTTTCACTCATTTGGGGGAAACAAAGATTGCTTTCGGTTTTATCTGATTTTGTGAAAGCTAATCTGCGTTTTGCTTTTGCATGTGATTTGGTGAAAGCTAATCTCAAAATTATACCTTTCACATTTCTATGTTATTATACAAGGATTCAATCTTATTTTGGTCATAAAACGAAGAATTTAAGTGTGCATGTCTTCACAAAGGGACTTGTGGTTTAATGAGAGCGTTTACTCCTACACTCGAGATATTCCTCTCTTCTTAATATCAATTTGTATCAACTAATGTACGTATTTTTAGAGTAAAAACATGTTGTTAAGAAGTATTGGAGAACATACATATCAAAAGAGAAAAGGTCCCAAAATGGGGCTTAAAATATATATTTTTTCATGGAAATATTTGACTTAATTATAACTAGAAATGTTATAATGTTTTGCATGTAATATAACTGTTATTTTAGGAGAGATAAGGGAAGGAATAGGAAGATCAAGTGGTGGGAGAAAAATATGGTAGGATTGTTTTAAATATGATTATGGTTATAAAAAAAAATTATCATGTAAAAATAAAATTGGACAAAAGTCTGGTTTCTTTGCTATAAAAATTTGGTATTTGGAGCTCATTATTAAAAGCCTAGACAAAATAAATTGAGAAAGGCATTTGAATAAAGGAGTCCGCTTATTTGGGTTCACTTTTGTTACTCCTCCCTTCTATTCTCTCCTCTCATTTTCTCACTCAATCTCATCTCCACTCTCATAGAGACGAGCCAACGACCCACTACTAGCAACAACGATATTGTCCTCAACTTAACCACCTACAAATCCTAGTATGTGTGAAGTTTTATCACAAAAGGCATTGGTGATATTAGTAGTTGAATTATTCATTATATGTTGTATTTTATTTAATTAAGTTTCTGACGCGGAACTTATATTCTTCAACATGAGACCTTAAGAGTGTGTGTGAAAAACTTTTCCTCCTGTAGTTTAAACTATTGCTTGTATTGGGGAAAAAAAAAGGTCTTGCTTGAATTAGAAAAATGGCTCAATCAATCTAGCAAATATAATGATATCCATGCCCAAAAAATTACCATGTTCAAGAGGAATGTATGTTCATGTAAGCGTTACAGCAATAATCCAAATTTGATCCTGTGGGCCTGGTGTCTCAACATCATGAACCTGTGGACCCAGCTTGACAAATCTTATGATTTGATTATTACTCTTCTGAAAAAAACTTGTTGAGTGAGAGAGTGAGAGAGTGAGAGAGTGATGACCCAAAGGCCATCAGATGGGACAGAAGTTTTGTACATGGACATCAAAGCATCCCTATGTATCATTGAGGGACCATTTTGGATCATGACAAGTGTAATTCTAAATGCATCTGCTGCTTGACATATCTACAAGGAGGGAATGGGCCATATTTGAGGTTAGGCTGGTTGCATTTTAAGATTTGGGCCATGGTCCACCTTGTCATGATCCAATACTTTGCAAGAAATTGGTGAAATAAATAGAAACTGTGCAAACTGTCAAACCCATGGTAATGCCTTGAAAAAGGAAGTAGAAAAAGAAATTCTTATGATCAAACCAATCCCACAACAAGAATTAAGTTGGGTATGGCAAGTAAGGAAGAGTCTCCTTTGTAGCACCTTGGACATATGAAGGCGATAGTGTAGTGCCAGCCAAAGAGCCAATTGGGTCAACTAAATATTCCAAGTATCAATGCGTTTGAGAGGAGACGCATAGGGCTTATGGTTTTATGTGGTGAGAGTGTTTATTACCTAAGCTAGCCTTATATCTTGAGCAATGCTAAGAGGCGCTCTTTCGCAATAATTCGTTATGTTAAGTAATGCTAACTTTTTTGGCATGACTTGTGAGATTTTGTAATATCGAAATCACTGTTAAGGTAGTTAGGAGCTTGATTGGGCTTTAGCCCTGCGCATATCAAAGTGTGCCTGTAATTAGGCTACATTTATTTTTGGGGTCACAACTTATGTAAGATTTTGATGTGACTTTTTATGAATGCCATGGGCCAAGGTTATATTGGGTCTAAATGAATGGTTTGACAGATTGGTTTGGACACGTTGCTTGATCTAATAAATTCCCGTCTCATAATTGCCCCTCGTCTATTATGCATTTGACACGTGGCAAACTGAAAAGGAGTGAATGTTGTGTGTGTGTTTTTTTAGGACATTTCCTATTGAGAAGACAATAGTATACTAAACTCTCATACACTACACTGTACATATGCTAGGACTCAAATCCAGAACCTTTCTTAAGATGATCAATTACTCAAAACCACTACACTAATGAGTTTATTACGCATTTAACATGTGACAAACTGAAAAGGAATGAATTTTGCATGTTAGATACAACGGTTCAATACCTTTTATTATCCCACAACTCAAAATCCGAAAGATTGGGAAATGAAACTTATTTTATTCAAATAAAAGGTATTGAACTGTTGTATAAAGGTCACTTTGTGTACCACTTTTGTAATAAAGGTCTATAAATATAATCTCCCTACTATATTTCTTTTTATGTATGTTTCTCTCTCCTTCAAGAATTGAGGCAACCCTAGGTTGATGTTCATAGACATTTGAAACCATGGACATGTGTACCTTCCTAGCAAACAAACATGTCGACATCAAATAACCTAGTGGAATAGTAATTTAGTGAAAATAATTTGAATCATGCCAAAACAAAATAGGCAAAAGAAAGAATAACAATCCAGTGCATCACATCCACATCAAAGGTAATATAGATCCCTGATTGTACGTTCTAGAGGATAATGTTAATTAAAGGCAGATTCGGACTTGAAATACGATGGTCCCATTTAACAACTGTTTCGATATCCCATGTGGAGTTGGCCATCCCATCCGGTGTACTGCCAATGACATGGCGCCACGTGTGAATAAGAGCGTTGTGTTCACGTGTGAGCCGTAATAATGCAATGAGGAGAGCCGGTGGGCCCTATTTCAATAGTTTTGGGACCAGTTAGCCCGGGTGAGCCGACCCGAGCCGGGATTGAGCTGGTGTCGTTTGAGGGAAAGGAAGGGCTAACAGCTCAAATCCCTGTCCGCAAAAGTGAAATAGGAGTAGTAATATTTTGCTATTCTCAATTAATTATATGTGTGAATAGCTTATCATGTGTGACATATTGTGATTGATCAGGATAGCAAAATAGTAATATTCCTATTTCACACAAATATTTTTGTTTCTTCTCCAAAAATAAGGGCCCACATAATTATCAAATCAAGACCGTTGATCTACAATTTCCTAATTTTTGTTATTTTGGGGGATAGAAACATGAAGTTTACTATTACAAAGTGTTATGGAAAAATGACACCAAGGTTATGTTTGGATGCCCAAAAAGATTTGAATGCACTAAAAGACGATTTTCGAGACATATTCTTCTACATACAACATGATTTGAAATATAAATATATCATTTGCTCACCGCACCTAAATGCTATGTGGACTAGAAATTATGAACAATCTAAAGACGTCTAGCAATAAGGGAGAATGAAATTAAACATAGGACCTCATTTACATAAATAAATGTTGTTAACTACTTAAGCTATAAATTTCTTGTATTTTTTTTTTCTTAAACGTGTTTAAATACTTAAACGTAATACTTGTATTGTGTGACATATATTAAATAAATCAATAGTGTACCGTGTTTTTTTTCATTAAAAATAAAATTTTACACAATGCATTTTGAGGCATGAAAATGAAAACAGTGGAAAGTGGAACTCCAACACTTGATTTGTGTTTAAAATGCTCTATCATTGAAGTCATAAGCTACGGCATGTGGATAGAGAATTTCCCAAAAAAAGAAGAAATAGAGATATTAGAGAAAATTAGTCCATTCTCAAGTTTGATACATTTGTCACAACTCAAAACACGTACGTAGGTGTGTCTTATTCATCTGGGCCAGCAATCCATACACAAATAATACTCCAACGCAACGTGCATATAAATGATACAAAGTTTGGTTCAAATATAGTTGGTGGTGCGCAGCACTAATTTGACACCCTAAATAATTCGAACTGCCAAATTTCAAGGGCAATCTCTCCAGCCTATTTTCTGGCAGATGGTTATATCTTTTTCTCCTAAACGAGGTAGTCTCATGTCACTTCCCCAGCAATTTGTCATATTATTTTGTTTTTTGGCAGAAGTAGAAACCCTGCTTGTATTATGAAAATTATATATATATCATATATAATTTATGTTCTATTATTATTATTATTTGATACCTGTTGTGTATGTTTTTCTTTATCTCTTATGGTTTCAATGATATCTTTCAAGAAATCTGATGTTTCACTTTTATATTTGCAACTGATAATCTGCAGAGGAGGTGAAGAAAAACATGAGAGTTGACAAATACAAATAGATATAAGAGAGAGAGAGAGAGAGAGAGAGAGAGAGAGAGAGAGAGAGAGAGATGTGGCAAATGCTATGGGCTATGGCAACCCATTCACTGAGCTGTAATGATGATGGGGCGCATGTGGGTTGGACTCAGAACTCCCTGCTCCTCATTCTCTCTCTCTCTCTCTCTTGTAACAACAAGGAGAGAATTTAAATAGTAGTGAGCAGAAATATATGTAAGGGAAGGAAGTTTATATATATGTACTAACTAGGATGAATGTGATGAGACAAAATTCTATTTTGCAACTTGCTCTTTGCTATCTTCTCCTCTGATCTATCTGACTGTTTATATATGTCTAACTCTTGCGATTGCCTGCCAACAACTGTCATGTTCTAACCCACTACTAGTTTTTATGCATGCCCAACATGGAAATCCTAAGAAAGTTTAATTATCTGCATTTCTTTTCTTTTCTTTAATCAAGATATTTTTTTTTTCCTTTTATATGAACGTCCGGACACTATATATTTTCTACTACCCCTTCATGTTTTCCTCCTTATTGACAACGGCGTCCGCACCAAATAACATCTATATATCCACAAAGGAGAAGAATTATATATATATATATATATATATGGATGGGTATATTATTTTTAATAGATGTTAGCAAATTGTACTCTCACCAAATACCATTTACATATCATAATTTGTGGTTACATAATTTGATGTACAGTGTAGTTGAGAACACACATACGTAACTCATTAGAAACACAAATAATTTTTTTTTTTCACCAGTGTCAAGTGAAGTAAGAAACAAGCCAACTATTTTTCATAATGAAAAGTTGAACAAAGTTACTACTTGCCATTCTTTTCATGGTAGCTAGAGCTATAGCTAGAGATAGAGACTGCACAGCTAGATTAGAATTTAAGTAAGACTATCCACAAGGTTATCTTGGTGGTGGCACCATACCAGAGATATGACATGTATTTTTACCAAGAAAAAAAGTTAACGTAGTAGAAAGTGAAAACATTAAAAGTTGTTATGATTAAAACTATGATTAATAGAAATCTTTTTAGAAAGACAGTGGTGTAAAAGATGCTCTGATCACTCTCTATTCACTCTCTCACAAGAATTAATTTTTACTGCAACTTTACAGTGCGCATGGAAATGGCATAAGCAATTCCAAAAGGGGGTCAGAGCTTTCCCACTAAAAGTCTAAAACAATACAAAAAAAACACCAAACAACAATAAACAATTGAATTAGTTAGGATTCAAAATGCTTCTATCTCTGATATCTCATGCTCCCCATCTGCAAAAATATACTCTTACACCCCCACCAAACTGACCAAAGGCCTTATCTTTTCCAAACCCATTATACTTTCTTTTCAAACTCTCTTGAAAACTATATTTTTTTGGTTTATAAAATTAGAGCTAGCCTTTGTTTCCTCCTATATATCTATTTAAGCATGCCACAACCAACTAACAAAACACTGTGTGCTTCATGGCTGATCATTAAGGTGGGGGAAAAAAAAGCCTTCTTTCTTTGTTCTCATTCTTTTGTTCTTTGAATCTGTTGCATGTATGAATTTAATTGTGAGCTGCTTCTGCTTCTTTGACTCTCTCTCTCTCTCTCTCTCTCTCTCTCTCTCTGTGGTGGCAGAGTTTTATGGTTGCCAAAAACTGACGTTAGATGGTTGTTTTGTTCCCCTGGTCATCACAGTTTTCATGATACAGAGCTGAATTAAAGATGGCGGTTATTGGAAGTGCCAAAATTGCACAGAAAATATAAAGCAGAAGCTGAGGTAAGTTGATTTCGGTTCTGTTGAGAGATCATCAGCTGCAACTAATTCCCTGGTCTTTGTTTGGCTCCTTCTTTGATATTCTAGATTGGTTTGGATCTGAAATTGGTATGTCATCATGTAATTTCCTTTGATTTTACTTCAATATATAAAACTATATTCATCATCCTCTGCAATGATATTATTAGTCTCTGATGACATAAATACACATATAAATATATTTGTTTATTATCTCATATATTTTGGATTTATGAGTTTCAAGAATTATTACATCATTATTTGTACTCTTTCTGAACAGAAATCTGCAAAACTACTTAAGGTTTTTAATCAATATGGACGGTTCGGATTGGGACGGGTCATACATCACAAACACATCAACCTTATTATGGAACAACCATCAAGTACATGATCTTGAAGAAAGGTTGTTGGTGTCGAGGTCAGGTCCCAGTGCTTTCATTCCAATCCGAGAGTTCCAAAAGGTCCAAACATCGCATGCGATCATGAACTCAACTACCGAAAGAGCGAGCAATAGTGCTCAAATTGTTCATCAGCAAAATCCCTATTTGCTGGACTCAGTGCATGCTATGCCAACTTTGAGAGCTGATCAATTTTGTCAAGCCCCTTTGATGATCAACAAGCCTAATTATAATTTGATGGGTTCACCGAGCACTACTGGTATTTTCATGGCTGCTGATCATTATGGAGATACTGGGAAACATGTACAAACACAAGTCATTCATGGCTTACAAGATCATGGCAGGGCTAAGCCAGCAACGACACGCTCCGTTGAGTCCTTGGATTGCTTGCTCTCAGGTACTAATAGCAACACTGACACATCTGTGGAAGATGATGATGGAATTTCTATGCTTTTCTCGGATTGCAGAAGAAACTTATGGAACTTTGGAGCAGGCAATAATAGTGCAATCTCATCCGGAGAGTCTGAGAACAACGAAACAGTAGTCTCTCAAAGTTCATCAGATTTATATGTCCAAAGTCAGGGTAAAAAACATTCCACAAAGAGAAGCCATGATCAAAGTGAGCTACATGGAGCCAATCATAGTCACTTCGGTCTTCTTCAAACAGATTCTTCTACTACGGAAGGTGGTTTTCGTCTCATCTCCGAAAACCCACCAAACCCGAAGAAGCCCAGATCAGATAAGCGTCCAAGCTCATCCAACATCAACTTTCAACAGCCAAGTTCATCTGTATCAGCTTCCTCTATTGAAGAGCCTGATCCAGAGGTCATTGCACAAATGAAAGAGATGATTTATCGTGCTGCGGCTTTTAGGCCTGTGAACTTGGGGATGGACATGGTTGAAAGGCCAAAGAGGAAGAATGTTAAGATCTCATCTGACCCACAGACCGTGGCTGCAAGGCAAAGGAGAGAGAGGATCAGTGAGAGAATTAGGGTTTTGCAGAGGCTGGTTCCTGGTGGAAGCAAGATGGACACTGCATCTATGCTTGATGAGGCTGCCAATTATCTCAAGTTCTTGAGGTCACAGGTGAAGGCACTTGAAAATTTAGGCCAAAAAATTGAGTCCATGAGTAATTCCAATATTCCTCCTACAAGCTTTGCTTTCTCTTTCAACCCCTCTTTTCCCATGCAAACCCATCATCATGTCCCACTCCACAACTCTAATCATATCCACCAACCCCACAGTTGAAAAACTAAACCAAGACCATAAAAGAAGCCCTAACCCAAGGTGCTTTGTCCTTTAATCATTCTCATCATCATCATCATTTCATCCCCAATGATTAACTTCGAAAAAAAAAAAATTTAAAGTAGCAAATTTTATATCCAAGATCCAAATCATTCTCTTCATCATTACATGTAATCCTGAGTTATTAAGGCTCATTCCATGCCATCATAACACCCACCACCCAAGAACTCCACAATTAAGACTTTAAATTCTACTTCCACTACTATTTTTGCTGCTTCCACTATCCATATGT